AGTTTTAGGTTAGTGTCTCTCTGTTCTTCGTCTATTTTTAGTTTATCTTGTTCTTGGCCTAGATGCCAGCCTCTAGTCCCTACTCTAGTTTTAGCAATGAAAGCTAAAGTCGCCTCTCTGCCTTTGCTAGTGTGGAGGAGTAGTTGGATTGTTAGGTAGTTCTCGCGAAGAGTTGCTTTTAGCGCTTGCCTTTCTGTGTTGTAGTGCCAGCAGTATAGGAGAAGGTGATCTGGTGTCTGTACTCTCCCACAATCGCAGAGGTTTGAGTTTCTCTTTTTCACTCTCTCTAGGTAGGCGTTAAAGTATCCGTGGCCTAGCTTGAGAGAGAAGAAGGCGCTAGAGATTTCCCTTGGTGTACCTCTTGGGATTTGGATTGCCTTAGGGTAAGCAAGGGGAAATCTAGCAGAGTAGGTATGCTTGTTTAAGCAGCTCGTATTACTGGCCTTGAAAAGCGATTAGTAGAGATCACGGAGCAAGTAGTACATGATAGGAAGCGGATTCAGACAGGCGGTACCAGAAAGCTTGGTCCAGGCGTGTTACAAGTAGTAAATTGTGCTTCTACTACACGTAAAACACCAAACAAGTCTTGTGATAAGGAACGTAACGAGAAGACCCAGCTAGATCAACGGGTCTGCGGGGCTTGTAGACCAAGTGGTCATAACCCCAGGACGTGTCCAAGAAAAAAACAGAATATGCATCCGAATCCAGTGCAAGTAATTGGCAGTGATGATAGTCTTTATCAATGAAGTTCGTAATGCCGGAAAAAGGTAGTAGTCTCAGTGATTAAACACGTCAGCTAACTACAACGAGTCATGCTGTTAAGTGATGTAGCATCAGAGGTGCACAAAATTGATGGGGTCCGTTACTCGCTTGTACGTGTCACTTGCTTACAAACTATGTTACTACGATTCTTTCTATACACAAACTCCAACGCCTCATTGCCAAAACTGCTAGGAAAAAACGCCCAAGACCTCACTTCAACGCGCGAGCTAACTAGGTTTCACTGATTTGTCACCGCAGGAGCTGAACCCCAAAGACGTTCTCTGATCTCCTTGTGATTCGCTCGGTCTTCTGCAGTAGATTTCAAGAAGCCCTACGATAGACTGTCAGCGTATGCCCGTAGCAGTATCTCTCAGCAAGACCAAAGAGGGAAGCAAAGCATCACTTACAATCTCCTTCCAAATCTGTATATACTTCTGCGCAACAATATCACTCACAGGCCCGCACGCCGCCAGAATCGGCGAATGCTCCAAAGTCTTCTTACAATCCAACACAAGCCCACCACAGCTCATGCGCAAGAAGTTGTCATCGAGGAAGTCCAACAAAGTGGAAGCCGGATTGTCCTTTTGCGGAGCATTCTTCACCTTTTCGAGCCAGTCTTCGAAGGGGATGATGTTCTCGATGTGCAGAGCTTCTGCGATGATCTTCGTCATGTCGGTCCAGGATTGGCCAACGGGATTTTCAATGTGGTAGATGGGGTAAGGGGAATTATCGGCGAGAACAAGATCTGAGAGGGCGCCAGCGATGTCGTTGACGGGGGTCCAGAAGAGGCCGCCGTCAAGGTCGGGGAGGGCGTTGAGGGTTTGCGAACTTTTGACTAGGAAGCCGAAGTGTTCCTGTGTTCGAGTTAGCAATTTACAATCCTCTATTGGCTCTCTGATATACTTACCATTGGGTTCCAGTACCCAGATGTCTTGGAGCCTGCGATCTGTCCAAGACGGACGGCCATGGTTCGGAAGTTTTCTGGATGCTTGTGAAGGGTCTCGTCTAGCATTCTTTCGCAGCCCCATTTGGCCTCACCATAACCATTGGTCAAGACTGCGTTGATGCCAACACGCTCTTCTGGTACAATCTGTTTCATGCCAGTTCCGGGCCTGTAATTCTCAAGCTCGTAATGCCCAACAACGCCGATGGAAGAAACCATCTGGAATCCAAACTTGAAGCCTGCTGGTCTTTTGGAGACGATGTCACAGCCAAAGTCAATTGCATTGCGGAAGACTTGGAATTGCGACTCGAAGCCAGAAAGTGGTCGCTTAGCAGACATTGGCCAGGCATTGTGGATGAGATGCGTGACGGAACTGGTCAAGCTCTCGTACTCTGCCTTTTCAAGGCCAAACATCGGCTTGCTAGTATCAGTCTGAAAGACACGGAGCTTGTGCTTAAGCTCTTCTGGGAAGCGGATTCCCTTCTCTTTCATGGCCTTGTGCTGGCGAGCGTACTTCTCATTTCTGTTCTCGCGGTTGAGGCAAACCACAGTCTTGACATGTTCGAGCTGGGCCAAATGATAGGTGAGATGACCTCCAAGACTGCCACTTGCACCTGTCACGAGGATGACCTTCTCATTCTGGGCTGGCATTTCACCATTGGGGTTGGGAACCGGAGCCTTGAAACCCGCTGTGTATTTCTCGACCAAATCGTCGACAGCTTTCTTGCGAGCTGGTAGAGCAGCAATCTGCGCTTCAGTAATCATGGAGACCTGGCGAGCTTCTGACTGTGCATCTCCGCTAGGCTTTGAAGGATCCTCCATTCCCTCGGTAGGTGGTGGAGGCAGATCATCACTGCCAGCAGTGTCTCCACACAGCATGATCCTGAGATCACGCACTGTTGGACATTCCAAGAACAGCGACTCGTGCTGGATGTCGAGCTCGAGTTCATCACGAAGTCGGCTGACGACAACGAGAGAGAGTAGCGAGTCAACACCACTGTCAGCGAAGTCAGTGTCATCAGTGAGGTCTTCCAATGCCACACCACTCTCCTCAGAGATGATTAACAAAGCACTCTGGAAGACATGAGAGTTCGCGCCAGTGGCAATCTTCTCGTGATCTGGTAAGGATGGTGCGCGGTCGGGAGTGGTGACGCCCGTGCCTGCATCAGATGATGCACTAGAACAGTTTCTTGTCACCTCAGCACCAGAGTCACTGCTGGTCTCCGAAACAGATTCATTGCTCTCAGCAGCTGGAGCTGCCGGCGCGCTGGCGGAATCACCAAGCAATCTCCTGAGGTCTTTGACAGCAGGGTATTCGTAGAAAAGAGAGTTGAAGTCGATGTCCAAGTCAAGCTCCTCTTTGAAACGAGCAGATATGGTGAGACCCATCAGACTGTCAATACCTGCATCGGCGAATACAGTATCATCGTCAAGGTCCGACTCGGAGATGCCGCTCTCCTCAGCAATGATTGCTAGAGCTGGAAGTGCTTTGGAGGGAGCAGCAGCCTTTGCTGCAGCAGGCTTAGCCTTCTCAGTAGGCTTGGCCTTAAGGCTAGCAGGCTCCGCTTTCTCAACAGGTGCAGCCTTTGCAGCGGCATTGGTACCTTTGGGCTGGACGCTGCGACTCTCGTTATTAAGAATCACCTTGAGCACACGGCGTGGCACATTCTGAATGGCGATTCCCCTGAAGCTTGCCACGATCTTGTCATCTTGATCGAAGATGGCGACATCTCCGTGCCACAGCTTGTCTTTGCCCTCGTGCATCTGGGTGTACGTGGTGAAGGTCTTGTCGAGGTTGATTGGTTCAAAGATCTGGAAGCTGCCCCAGCCGTGGTTCATGAAAACTTCCTTATCAAGGTCAACACTGTCGTTGCAGTTCATTGTGAAACCACATGACTGAGTCAGAGCGTCAATGACTGCGGGGTGAGTGTGGTAGCAACCATCTCTCTTGACAGTTCCGAAGCTGAGCTTGCTAGTCGCCTCAAGAGTATTGCTGTCCAGCACGACTTCGTCGATAGCACGATAATCATCGTGGAATCGAGCAAGAGGACGGATCGCTCTGTAGACCATTGGTCTGTTGAAACGCGCTACGGTCTCCTTGGAAATACCCTCACGAAGAGCCTGCATCTTTTTCTTGATGGCTGCCTTCTCTCCCTCAAGCTTGGTCAAGAGGCTGCGGTCCTGGAAGCGCACCACGCAGCGAGCATGTTCTTGGAGCTTCTGCTTGGAATTGAACGACATAAAACGAATGCTGGCCGCATTTTTGGCCCAGTCAACGTCAGCGTGAGCCTGGAGCAGCTGCTTGTTTCCTGCCGAGTTGAGGATCAAAGCCTTGGAGATGTCCATATTTCCGACGTCGACCAGTCTCTGCTCTTGCTTTGGTCGATACTTGTCGACAAGGTATGTACCGAGGGTAAGTGCGATATCGCAGTAAACGCTAGGTGTGCAAAGTGGAATGCCATCGACTTCATGCCCTTGTACGAGTGGACTGAGATCCTTGCGAGCAATATCAGCCTCGACCACGATTTGTGCCTTCTCGGCATCGCCAGTCTCTTCGACAATGTTGTGGATGGTAGTACTCTCAAGCTTGGAAGTCCTCTGTTCGAGAACTAGAGGAGCATCGCCCTTGCGCAGTGACCAGTCATTGATGTATTGGATCCAATACTCCTTCAAATCCCAGCAGTAGGCTGGAAGCTGAACTACCCTCTGGGCCGAGGAGAAGTCGCGGTGATACTCCGACCATCTGAGATCGGCTCCTGCCATATACAAGGACTTAAGTGCGGCAGTCAGAGTCTGGCAAGCTGTTCTGCCACGCTGCAGCGAAGGTAGATTCGCCACCTTTGGTAGGTTGGCCTTGACCATGCCACTGACAGCCGGATGTGGGCCGATCTCGAGGGTCATGGTGGAATCTGTAATGAAACCCTTGGACTGAGCTTGCTCGAGTGCTGTAATCATGTCCACTGGCTCGCGACAGTGGCGAGAGAAGTATTCGGCAACAAACACTTCGGCCTTTTCGACGACGCGGCCATCTAGTGGGCACAGAACAGGCACGCGTGGTGTGGAATACTTGACACCGCAAGCCAATCCAGCGAAGTCTTCCAAGATGGGGTCCACTTGCGAAGAATGGAAAGCATAAGGAACCCTGAGCAAGGTCGACTTGATACCGGCCTCATTAAGGATCTCGCTGAAGGTTGTGATGTCTTCATTTGGTCCTGCGAGCACGGTCTCAACTGGCGAGTTGATGCATGCGACCTCGAACTGGCGATCCTGAAGCGCGCCATAGACAGTCCTCACGTCACTTCTGACGACGAGCATGGAGTGAGTGCCGACTTGGCACTTTGCCTCCAGAAGCTGAGCACGCTTGCCGACAAGGTATACGGTGTCAGTGTCAGACAAGACACCTGCTACATTCAGAGCAGCGTACTCGCCGAGAGAGTGACCGACCACGGCAGCAGGGTGGATGCCGAAAGAAGACCAGAGTCTGGCCAATGCGATCTGCATACATGTTGTTGCAAGCTGGACTGGAGTTGGAGCGAACTTGCCAATGTCTAGCTCGTCGGATTGGATGACAGGAAGCATAGATGGGAATCCGAGACTACGACCGATCTTGTCGAGGCAGCGCATCTCAGTGCGAAAGACGGAGAAATTGTCGAAGAGCTCACGGGCCATACCTGGATATTGAGCGCCATTGCCTGTGAACGTGAACAAAACCCTTGGAGCGGTTTTGGGTCTGGTCATGCCTGCCTTGTCCTGAATGGCCTTTTCAATCTGCTGGCACAATTCTTCCGAGTTCTTGCCAGCAAGCATGACACGATGCTGGTGATGCATGCGTCGAGCTGTCGTGGTGTAGGACAATTGACTGAGAGAGAGGTCTGGGTTCTGCTTCAAGTGCTTATGTATCGACTTGAGGTTGCCTTGCAGAGACACACCGTTCTTGGCAGAGACTGCAATGACGTGGACGGTCCTTGGATCATTGTCTTCAAGTTTCTCGAAAACTGGACTATCCTCCAATAACAATGCCGAGTTGCCGCCTGCAGCGCTGAAGTTGTTAACAAATGTGCGCCTTGGCTGAGATCCGGTACGCTCCCATGGGATAGGCTTCAGAGCGATGTTAACGTTTCTCCTGTCAAGATCGGTCGGGAATTTGTGGTTGATCTTGGTTTTGATACCAACATGGGGTGGGATCGTATTCTTCTGCATCATGAGAAGGACCTTGATTAATGCCGATACACCAGACGCAGCTTCTCCATGACCGATGTTTGCTTTACCGCTTCCAAGATACAGAGGCTGCTCCTCGGAACGTGGCTTCTTGACTTCGTCAAGAGGTGGTGCAAAAGTCTGAAGCACGCTAGTCATCTCAGTGGCATCTCCGGCCTGAGTACCTGTGCCATGCATCTCAACGTAGCTAATGTCGTAAGGATCCACGGCGCCTTGGTTCAGAATCTTCTTGAAGATTGCACTTTGAGCACCGATGTGAGGACGAGTGATCGACTCGCTCTCTGCACTGTGGTTCGTGTAAGCGCCGAGGATAATAGCTTGAATAGGATCCCTATCGGCGATGGCATCATCTAGTCTCTTGATGATCACGGTACCAACACCTTCGCCTCTGCAGTATCCATCTGCACCGTCATCAAAGGTCTTGCAGTTTCCTGTGCGGGAGAGAAAGTGTCCTCTGTCGAGTCCAGCAGTCATGTCAGGATTTGTCAGTACATTAGTACCGCCTGCAATCGCCGTGTCAATATCGCCACGCCAAAGAGCATTACAAGCAATGTGGATGCCCGCTAAGCTTGAAGAGCATGCAGTATCGACCGCATAAGATGGGCCGCTGAACTTGAAATAGTAGTTGATACGACCCGGGATGAAAGCTCTATTGCCTCCGGGGATGAAGTAGGTGCCTATACGATCAGCATTAGTGGATGAACTCTCTCGGGGAATGCTTGTTTGAACTCACTGATCTGCTGGGCAGAGTTGGTCTCCATCCAGTCGTTGGAGGTGACACCATAGAAGACACCGACACGATCGCGCCGCGTGCTCGGTGTGGCGTCAGGTACGATACCTGCTTGCTCGATGGCCTCGTAAGCAGTCATCAAGGCGATACGCTGCGCAGGATCGACTTCTGCCGCTTCGCGCGGACTGCATTCATCGCATGAGGTCAGCAACGTCGCATTTTCGCTTGACTGTCCTCTTGGTTGATCTCACCTGATGTTGAAGAACTTGCAGTCGAATTCCTTGGGATTATCTAGCCAGCAACCGAAAGGCGTAGCACTAGTATTCTTTTTCTTGCCCGAAGGATCGACGTGGCTCTTGGCATCCCAGTGAAAGTCGGGAACTTCTCTATGAACATCGAGGCCTTGATATAGCAGGTTCCAGAACGCCTCGTTGTCCTTAGCGCCTGGGAATCTACCAGATGCACCGATGATAGCAAGCTTTGGCTGCTTTGGATTACCATTTGTCTGTTCTGGCACAGCTAGCTTGACTTGGGCTGGCTGAGAGGAAATCAATCTCTTAAGGCCGGTCTGCTTGAGAGCATTGTAGATCAGCTGCTCTGCTGTCGTGGCGATGGCATCGATCTTGAAAGACTCAGGGTCGGCGGCGTAGAGCCATTTTTGCACTTCATCGATGATGTTGGGCCAGCTGATTGGCTGCAGCAAGATCTGCGAGACCGCCTCCTTCAGCAAAGTCCCGAAGTTGTTGATGCCGAGGACGACTCCTGAAGTCGAAAGCACTGGAGTTTGACTAGCGCGCTCAGAGATCTTCTCATCCAGGTCTACTAAGATCTCTTCGACGTCATCCGGTGAGGAGAGATGAAGGCAGTGGTAAGGGCCATAAATTGGAATGCTCTTTGTTCGAATGCCTTTGAAATGCTTCGAATCTGCAAGTTGAGCCAAGGCATTCGGGGGTCCGCTGACCGTGATTCCACTAGGTGCCACTGCGGAAATGTAAGGTCTGTCGGTCAACGGTAGGTCGGTCTCCTGGAGGAACTTGTTGACAGCCTCAGTTGCACTATCGGTACCACCGACAAGCATAGACCAGCTGCGGTCGGTCTGAGCTCCCTGAGAAGGCTCAACACGTTGTGCAACATCAGTGACATGCATGCCGGTCTTGAAAGCAGTAACAACAGCTGCCACTCCAAGAGGAATCAGGTCAAGTGTGCTACGACTGCAGCTGACTGCCGCCGCAGCCAGAGTACCTGTACAAAGACCAAGGAAGCGAGAGTTGTCTGAACTTGGGTAATCAGACTCTTCCTGGCTGATGAAAACCCCCAGCTGATACATGCATGTCAATGCCATCTCTAGAGGAATGCATCGCTTGCCCGAAGTCGGCTCCATCAGGAGAAGGTCATCGATAGCTGTAAACCTTGGCAGATTATCGCGGATCTGAATAGGAAGATTGGAGATGTTGGTTCGAATGGCGTCGTATGACTTGAGAAGGAAGTCATCGAGCACTGGATTCGTCCTGTACTGGAGAAGCTCTTTCAAGCGTGATTGGACCTCATAAGTCTGATCACCAAAAAGGTAAAGTTTCTGTTGTCCAGACATGTTGACTGTATAGGCTTCTCTTTCTAATCCGGTCTTGTATTATTCTTGTTCGTGCTATACTAAAAGTATACACGATTCTTGTGTGGGTTGGTGTCTTCGTGTAGTCTGGGTCAAGCTAGGACGTTGGCGTTGAGAGTATGGGCTGGAAGAAGAAAGACGAATTGAAGTGATCTTGGCTATCTGAAAGCTCTTAATACCTCATAAAGTGCGTGAGAAAGTCAGGTATTTAAAGAGGCTGCTGAGATGAGCACATGTCCCCTGTCTCGGTCATAATGAGCGAAGCTGACCTTGTGGACTCTGCCGACGAGGTCTACCAACGGCTCAGATGGCGATGAGTGGATCCGGGAATCGGATGTATGGGGTGACGAGTGCCGGTCTCTCATGCTCTGCCTACACTGATTATTACCGGCACGAGCAGTGATTACCGACGACTGCAATTGCTCATACTATCAGCTTGCTCTTCGGGTCTTGACACGTGCGGCACACGCACAATGTACGCTAAAGGTGGGTGGATTAAGGACGCGGCTAATCATGAGTGTATTGGCAAACCTTGTCCGCTAGGGCATGAACATTCAATGTGGAGATTTGACCCACTGCCGTATGTGCTGCGGGACTGACCCTCGGGTTTGGGTTTGGACTTCGGGGAATCCTCCACAACCCGAGAACATTGCTGTAGACAACCACACCGTGTAAACTCATGCAATAAATGACCTAATCCCAGGGCACAGTTTGTAGGTATCTATCGCGCTCGTCAAGCAGGTATTCGTCCTCAAGATATTATGTCTAATTGCAGTTTTTCCCTATTCTTATCCTTTCCACAGTCTGTCGACACGATGGAATACCCTTTGACATTATATCAGAACTGTCGTATTTTGTTCCTCTTCGTCGTAATTCCAACGATCCTACTAATTATCGCATTCCTACGACACGATCGCAGAATCGATACAATTCCAGGTCCGAGACTCCACCCCGTCGTGGGTCTGGGCTTGAAACTGCCATCAAATGCAACGGCACTTTTCCGACAGTGGGCAGAGGACTATGGAGACATCTTCAAGGTCCGCATCGGCTGGTATAATTGGGTGGTGATCAATACTCCAGAGGCGGTTCGCGAGATACTTGAAAAGCAAGCTGTGAACACCTCCTCAAAAGCACCAAGCCCACTCGGACATGATGTTGTTACGGGAGGGATGCGAATGCCGACAATGCCTTACGGGCCGCAATGGCGAGCGCAACGATCAGTCGTGCGCCAGATAACTTCTGTGCCCATGACCTCCACATTTGTGCCAAGTCAAGAGTTCGAGACGAAGCAACTACTATTCGACCTCGCGACAAACAACGGCGACTCGCAGAGATTCTACTCTCATATGCGTCGCTTTGCTTTCAGTATTGTTATGACCAACACCTTCGGCACCCGCGTCAAGGATATCAATGACCCGGACGTACACAATGCAATGAGAAGTCAAGCAATCATGCGCAAGACACTCCCACCGTACTTTATCGTGGACGAGCTACCGCTGCTCCAGATCCTGCCTAAATGGCTCCAGCCTGGCCGCAGAGAAGCTGAAGAATGCGGCAAAGAAGTGCTCAAGATCAAAATGGATCTCTGGCGTCGACTCGAGCGTCAGCACGCTGCCGGAAAGGCACCAGAGTGCTACGGTCGCGAGATCATTGAGCACAGAGACACATGGTATGCAAAAGGCCTTACGGAAGAAGACTTGGCCTGGATTTGCGGTGGTCTCGTGGAAGCTGGATTTGAAACTTCCGCCGCTACACTCAACAGCCTAGTCCTCCACCTCGCCGCCAACCCCCGAGTTCAAACCGCAGCCCAAGAAGAGATTATGCGCGTAGTCGGTCCCTCACGCTGTCCGCGCTTCGAAGACCTCCGCCGCCTACCCTACGTCCGAGCCTGCGTGAAAGAAATGCTCCGCCTCAATCCCATCCTCGCTCCGGGAGTCCGGCACTTCACTGACAACGACGTAACATACAAAAACCACATCATTCCCAAAGGTACCGTCCTCCTCGCCAATACCGCCTACCTCCACTTCGACCCCACCCGCTTCTCCAACCCTCACGACTTCATGCCTGAACGCTACCTGCACCACGACCTCTACAGCTCCGAATACGCCGCCATGTCCGACCCATACAAACGCGACCACTTTACTTTCAGCACTGGCCGACGCACCTGTCCTGGTGCTCGCGTGGCGGAGAATTCCCTCGGGATTGCTTTAGCGGGAATGCTCTGGGCGTTTGAGATTCGACCTCCGATTTCGGATGATGGGATCACCGAGGGGAAAATGGACCTGAGTGAAAAGGCTTATCCGAATCCGGGATTTACGACTCCGGGTCCGTTCAAGGCGCGGTTTGTGATTCGGGATGAAGAGAGGGAGAGGATTGTGACGGAGCAGTGGGAGGTGGCGATGAAGGAGGGGTATGAGTTGAGAGGTGTGCCAGTTGATGTGAATGGTGTTGTGCGGTATTAGGTATTTTCGCAGCCCAATCTATTTTGCACTACGTGGTATCATGCTGCTCTCCAATGTTACTAATAGACGAATAAAAATGCTCATCTTCGGGTTAAGGTTGACAACTAATTCCAATTTCCGGTGAGTTTCTCCGACAAAAGACCGATGCAGGAGCTAGTCAATGTGATAAAAACGCTTGATATCCCGAATCCCGGCTAGAGCACATCTATCATTCAAACACTGCTCAAGCACCAAGCAACTCGTCCATAAAGTCGTATATGTCGTTACAGGATTCTGTCGATATCTCTACGTAGCAATTGGCTAATAAGACGCTGAAGTCCTCCCTGTCGTTCTCTTGCAAATTACTATCCATTACATTGGCTTCTATCGTCAATTCATTGAATTTCAAGCTTTTGATACCTGCAGTTCTGTCGTGTTCACCACGTAGCTAGGCGCTCAAGGTTTTGTAAGGGCTGTCCACTGCTCCAATAAGCAGGATTCCTCGGGTTTGAGCCCGCGAAAGCATTCTGCAGCAAAGGCGTCAATGACCATGTTGACCCATTTCATCTCGCTAGAGACTATGTGGAGTTTCATGATAACCTGGAAATTCTAGCCGTCGATCTAGAACATGCCCATTGCTTTTTGGGAAGGTACGACAGCTTGTGCTAGGCTCGGCATGCTGGGCGTGCGCTTGTATGAACACAAAGTCTCGTTGCCCCACAATGGATCTGATCCTGTTGAAGGGTATCCTGTTGACAATGAACTCGCTGAGTCGATGCTTGATACTGACGATAGCCAAGGAACAGCAGCTAAGAGAGGCACGTGGCCGGGTACCGGGCTAGAAGGAACTGTGAGAACATAGCCTATTGTCTACCGGTACCAGATTAGGACTCTTAATAGGATTGACTTGTATAGAAGTGCTGGGTGTGGCGGTCTCACACATGGACAATACAGTAATTGTATGAGACATTCACAAGCATCTTGATTTACCCCTAGAACATGGTTGATGTGGACTTGATACCTTGACATTGTCGTACCTGTTGTACCATTGGCGCCCGTTGATGCGTGTTTAATATTAAGAGACTCCTAAATACAGAAAGGTCTTCTTTGTGGCAGACATGCGTTGATAGCGATGTTGCTGATTGTGGCTCGTTGCTCCCAGCCCTGTTGACGATGGCTGCGGCAAATCATTTGATTCAGCGTGGACTTATTGACGAGTTAATATTCGACATCTGCTTTAGACATACTCTACTTTTGGTAGTTGACAGCGACTATAAATGAAACGTAGGCGATTGCAATTCAGCTTAGGAGAGCCACGTCCGTCGCACGAGCTCCTCGGTTTCAATGGTCGTGGCACAGTTTCTGGCAGCGTTTGCAAGACAAAGCTGGGAGAGGTAACGGATAATTTCAAGAAGAGCAGGTAGGGCGATTAAAGCGTGAAGTGTATGCCACCTAATACAGAGAGGATTAGAAGCATTTCAGTACTCCAACCATTTATCGAGGCTTATGGAGAGCTATTTCTTCCTACAAAAGCTAATGTCAGCAAAATCCACTACACATGTAGTTTTCGGGCGGACGTGCAGCACTTAGAGCTCGGTGCAATTTGCAAGTGACTAGTCACAGTAAAGGAGAGGTTCCTGAGCAGTACAACAATAGCGAAGGTGCGATCGATCAAGGATGGGAACAGCCCAATAGATAATTAATGCTTTGTAAGTGCACACTCTTATAGAGCCTTATACTGCAGAAGTATATTCATCCACACCTAAGAGATACGCTCACTTGCTAAGCACTAGTGCATGTTTGCTGAAGCTTATCTCTGCTGAACACACGAGGCTTAAATTTGCTAAGTAATCTGCTTCTATAGCCGCTGGTTGCCTTGGATAATTGAACCCTGGGTCCTATATACATAGTATTTATATTTCACTACTGCCTTTTTAGTAGCACTTTATATTTCTTCTCTTTGTTATATTATATCTATTCATTTAGTCTAGAAATATAATCACTATTCAATAACTTTGGATTCATATACAAAACCTCTAAATAGAATCATCAAATCAGAAGCTTTTCCTATTACATTATCCCTACACCTAGAGTTAAAATAAGACTTAGAATTTCCCTTCTCGAAATAGATAGATGGAGGAGGGAATCTGCTAAGGTAGTCCTATAATTACTTGTTTTCTAGTTTAAGCTGATCTAAATAGCTCTTTAAGGTAAAATATAAGCTACATCCTGTTCTATAGTTATGAATCCAAATGAGGAAAAGGTGGAATGAAGATTTAGTACTAAAGAATCTTTTCCTACATCTCTATCATGTATAGGAGACAAGCTATAGCTTATTTATAAAATAAATAAGTAGATATATAAAGATATCTATAGATATTACATAATAATTATAAATAGCTTATAAATGTACTGCATCTTAGTTCGATTTCCATCAGTAAACATGTAACGGGTCGAGTCCTATTAGACTGCGCACGCAACTACAACGCGCCCACCGCGCCAAAAAGGCTGGCACAAGATATCAGAGCTGCTGATATCGTTGCGTAGTTGATACATAAGATAGCCACCGCTATCTGTACTGTAGCGGGCTACCTAGCCCGTTACAAAACACCTTACTTAGTCCTTATTATAACTATAGTACTATTATAGATACAGACTTCTAATATCTTTGAACTTATTTGATGTATAATTCCATTTAGTCTTCTTAACTCCATCCCTAATCTATTGTATTCATTCTTAGTAAAAAGATAAAATCTTATATCTATATCTTAGTAATAGACATGTAGAATGTTTGATAGAATGAACTAGTTACACTGTCATACCCTATCAAGAATGTATAATATATTTTCTTCCCTAAAGCGTTTAAGATGATACAAGTTCCTAAAGATTTTCAATATTTCAGCTTGTCTATGTACCTGTATTATGTCTTAGTAGCCCTTTGTTATTATTTTTCAAGCTCCTTTTACAATTTCCCTAATAACACTTTATATCCTACTTAAAGGCAAATAGAATCTTTTCTTTTATTAGCTTTAACTTTTTAAATATTATGCTAGGTATGTACGCTATAGCTTAATTGTTTAGGGTTAACGTAAATCTATAGTGTATATAAATGTTAGTCTGATTTGATATCTCTGTGTAGCGTTGTCCCCTAGCGTATAAATAAAGATAATCGCTCTAATGTTCCTTTTATAGCTATTGCTATATTTATATAGTAATTCTAGGTTCAAAATAAATTTTAGGGTATTTTAAAACTTGTTTTTCTATCTATTTTACGCTATATAGGGTGATAGGTAGTGATATTGTTTTATTGTTTAATTATTCTGTCGTTTTATTAATCTAGATTGTATTATCTTATCTTAAAGATTATATAGTATAGCCAAAGTATCACTAAGTAAGTTATTAAGAAAGGTAGTATAGTGAGTAGCAAAACGTTTCCCTTCACTAGCCCTAACCACCCTAAGAATACTAACTTCTACTATATTTTCAATGCTTGCTACTAATACTATAGCTTACTATTTCTTTATATAATAGCATAAAATATATATTTAGAACTCAATATTTAAATAAAGAGTATAGTATTCGATTGAAATTTTTATAGGCTTATAGTACTATTAAAAAATAGTAAAGTACATCAAGTAAAACATATTTATAGTTAAAAGCTTATACAAAATATTTAACTAGATTAATTCCACTATAAATAAACTTGATATTAAGTAATTTTCTATAATATTATACTACTAAAATAAAAAAAATGATTTCATATGTTATTTAATGATTACTAAGTATATAATTTTAAAACTCTACTAAAGCTTTAGTACTTACTTAGCTTAGTAAAGCTTCTTTTAACTTCATCAGCTACTAAATATCATACTGACTTTTTGGTACTTTAAAAAATTTACTATAAATATTTTGATTTAAAACTTAAATTACTTTAGAAAATATATTTATAATTAGTTTGAATTTCTCTATACTATTTAAAACTTTTTTTATAGTACCCTATAGTCAAATCCTATATAAATATATATTATCAAAAAACCTTTTGTAGTATAGTTAAGTGGTAGTAATATTTACTAAGAGAAAAATAAAATAAAATCTAATAATTATAATAGCTTTATAGTTGATAATATAAAGAACTATTAACTTGTATTAATAGAAGTATACATACTATATAGAAGATGTTATTTATAATAAACTTTTTCTTAATATCTTATATAATAGTTACTTGACTTAAATATATATTGAAGGCTTTTAAAAGATTTAATTGCTTTACTTATAACGTATTCCACCACCGAGAGTGCCACCCCACCGAGAGTGCCACTTTTTCTTGGCATCGCGAACTTCACGTACGAAAGACAATGCCTCAACAACAGAACGTGATATTTACTCAGCAAGAGGGTAGGCTTACTCTAGCAGTTCAGGCCTATCGTACAGGCCAGTTTAAGAGCATTCGACGCGCTGCAGCAGCCTATAACGTCCATCATCAGCAGATCTCTCGGCGGCTTCAAGGAATCACCTTTCGACCTACGACGCAGCCAAATTGCCTAGAAGCTAACTAAATCTGAAGAGCAAACTATCGTACGATACATTCTTGTACCTAGACTCGCG